TGATATACACACACACTATATATATATATATATATATATATATATATATATATATATATATATATATAATAAAAAAATCAATTTAGATTATTTGGAAACGTATTTAATCAAGACAATGGTAAGGGTGAGTTAGGGAGTGTGTCTCTGGGCACCATTATAATATAACAGTTATAAGGTATAGTCGTCAAAGGTGCCTGAATAGGTGGTTAAAGTCACTGGGGGTAGTTAGGAGCAGCAAGGGTGTTAGTGGAGGTAGTTAAGAAATGTTGAGTGAACCTGTGGGTACGTTTCAGCCCCCCCCCCCCCCCCTCTCTCCTTCCACCCCTCCCCGGCCCCCCCCCCCCCTCTTTCTCAGCCTCTCCCCGCCCCCCCCCCCTCTTTCTCAGCCCCTCCCCCCCCCCCTCATCTCCTTCACTCACTGTCCTTGTTCTTTGATTGAATTTTCCTTCGGGAAGTTAGTTTTACTTATGAATGACGTCAAGGTTTATTGCATTTTCTCGTCACATCCCCCCCCCCCTCTCTCTCTCCCCACCTACACAAACCACCCTGAACCCAAACCCCCTCACCCAACACCCAACTAACCCCCAACCTCTATCCCCAGCAGCCATCCCCCACACACTTTAACAAGGTCCCAGTAGCCAGAGAAATCCTAGTAAACAACACAGAAATCATCGATAGATACAGCGATAGTAGGCGGCTTGACGTTTGCGAGGCACTACACATCAAGAAGTCAACACCAGCAATCAACAGTCAATTAATGCACAACTATATTCTACCCACCTCAAGACTCCGCTCCAATATAGAAGCATCAAGAAATATGGACCAATAGGTTTTCTACAAACACTTCTATTCAATACCCATTGTTTCGTGTTCTGTCTTGTGTTGATGAAATTAATACCCTATTAATGCCACCTCTTGTTCTGTCTTGTGTTGATGAAATTAATACCCTATATTAATACCCTATTAATGCCACCTCACCCCATCCACCTCACTCAAATGTAGATATAAAATCGGAGATGCGTAAGTTCTATTCAGTTGTGTATTTGTAAACTAAAGTCTTTGAAAATGTAATAAGTTTTACGAAACGCGCTCGTGTCGCGTCAGACTAGAAATAAAAATGAATTTTGGAGAATTGATTTTTGATTTACCTCCAACAGTGAAAAGAAATGTACGAAAGATTGAGAAAATTCGTGTTAGAATTATTAATCTTACTTTTTCGGTCATATTTAATAATATATGTCTACAGGAAAGACTGCTACCAAAATATACTAATATATATATATATATATATATATATATATATATATATATATATATATATATATATATATATATTTTTTTTTAAACTAAAAGGAGTACCACCTCTGGTGCAAGTGTAAGGACCCATAGCCTCGGAGAAGAAAATAACGAGTACTCATAGAAGACCTTGTGGATCCTCACTGAACACTGATATTTTCTTCTCCTACCACCTCTATTCTTTTTGTAAATATATAATATATATATATATATATATATATATATATATATATATATATATATTAGCATATAACCTAAATTAGTTACAGAACGTGTCACAGAACGTTGTACCTCTGAGATTATGTTTGCTTAAAAATGTGCAATTATTTCATGTTTTTTTCAACAGTTGAATAAGACCAAAACGACACCCATTTGAGAGACTGGCGGCAAGAGTAGAAGGGTTCAACATTTACCTAATGTAGAACAATATCTTGAAAATTATCGATTTTGTGGGGACAGTAATTGAGCACACGCTTTCTCCCAGTACTGGAGTTGTCGTCCACTGCTTTCAGCCGTTCGCCTGATGGTCCTCTGTGAACAGATGTTCTCAGTTGGCACTCGACACTGACTTAGCATTCGTGAGGGTCTGATCAACCAGACTGTGCCTTTAGCTCACAATGCGACGTACGATCAAGTATCCTTTGCTGGGATTTATCGAGTTTTTATTTGTACGCATTTAAGAGCCTACTGGTAAGTTTCTTTATATTTGGTGGAAATGTCTGTTTAATAAAACCTTTTTGTCTTATATAATTATATAGTTTTATCTAACTATTGTACCCCAATTAATAGGTCGTGCCTCAGTCTCCTACCGAATTATTTCAGCGAGCAGGTTTGGAACCAGTCCCTCTAACACTTCCCAGATAGGGATTATGTATTTCTTTCGCCTGTGTTCCAGGGAATACAATCTGATGGATTTTAAGCGTTTCCAATAACTTGGGTGCTTTGCCGAATAGAATCCGGCAATATATGTTCTTTATGCAATTTCCAGGTAAAGCCATTTCGCCAGCCTTAAATAAAGCAATGCGCAATAGTGTTCCACCTAGTAATTTAACTTCCGTATCTTCACAGACTTGGCATCTATTTAAAAACTCTTCTTATCCGGCAAATATGTTTTCTTTATTGTACACTTTAAGCGTGAGGTCTTTGGCAGGTTTACTACAGTTGGTCTTTACTATACACCTCTATGAAATTGGTTGGTGATTCTGTGTACACTTCCAGTTTCTAAACTGTTTATTTCCTTAGAGAAGGAATTGGAGTTGTTTTTTTAATGATATTTTTTCTGTGGGCCAGTAGAGGACTTGGTTTACGTCAATTCTGCAGGTTTACTGTGTCCTTTGTGTATGTTAACTCGCGAAGATTCATCTATGAAGGATGTTGCATCACATGAGTATTAGGACAGGTTCAAGTGCCATGGTGGACAGCTCTTCACTATGGAGGTTTCTGATTTTGGTTGTATTGAACTCTCTTGTTTCGTTTTTTGGGGGGAAGTAAAAGAGCCATCTCCCTTTTTTTTTCTGTTAATCTTTATGGGGGAAATTTCGTATGCTGTTGAACTATGGCCACAGTTGTCGATAATCATGTGAAGTTCGGTGTTGTAATATCGTTTTTTTGTGTGTTGTAATATGCATGGATGACCATGTTGCAGTTGTCCAGCAGGCTGATGTAAACTCACACTGTCCAGCTATGTTGTGCATCTGTGGACGTTGCAACGCAAGATGTTTTGTTAAGCTTATTATGTAAATCTTTGAAAGGATGTTATGTGATGATCATTCTATCGGTCTATAGTGTTTTGTTATTTGCTGTGCTGCCGTCCTTGTGAAGCTGAGCAGTTCCAGCTGTTTTTAGTGTTCAGATACTATGATCGGTGGTTAGGTTAAGTCTTCATTACGATAACTGCGGCTTTGTCTGTTTATAATTCTTGATGAAATAAACTCGAACTGTGTTTGTGGTGCGGAATTATGGTGCTTCCTTTAGTGATATGCTGTTCTCTTCCCTCGAGGTGATAATACCCGCTTGCTTGGTTTTGAAACACGTGTGTGTGTGTGTGTGTGTGTGTGTGTGTGTGTGTGTGTGTGTGTGTGTGTGTGTGTGTGTGTGTGTGTGTGTGTGTGCGTGTACTCACCTAATTGTGCTTGCGGGGGTTGAGCTTTGGCTCTTTGGTCCCGCCTCTCAACTGTCAATCAACTGGTGTACAGATTCCTGAGCCTACTCGGCTCTATCATATCTACATTTGTGTACTCACCTATATGTGCTTGCAGGATCGAGCATTGACTCTTGGATCGATGTGTGTGTGTGTGTGTGTGTGTGTGTGTGTGTGTGTGTGTGTGTGTGTGTGTGTAATTCCGCTGGACACCACTAATATGATAATCTCATGGATGGGGATTGCCATAATATCACACGGAGGTAGCCTAATTGACTGTGTATGGCTATTGACCTCAGTATAGTAGCCGTTATAGTAGCCGTTTAATTGGTTATCTAAATTAAGTTATCAAATTTATTGGTTTCTCAAGAGCGTGGAAGATGAGTTTGAAAGTGCACCTTAAATATGTAAGGCTACTACACATATACAAATCGTAAATAAAACACCGAACAGAAACCTCTCCCAAAGCCTGAAAACATTAGTTAACTAGTGCAAATGATGATTACAATTAATTACTCCTTGTGGCCGCGGTGTCTAATCTCCATAAACTTGGGAGATAATTGACCAGCAGGTGATTAAGGGTGTAATTGTGTTTAATTCAGTCTCCGAGATTAAAGAGATGGTGGCTAAAAAAGCCTTAATTACTACAGTAAGTACATGCCATGTGCACAAGTGCCATTTGATTTTCATGGGAAGGTGACAGCCGGTTCAATAGAAAGGAAATGAACCTCTGCAATTGCAATTCGCACGAAGAGGACGACCTTGTAGATATCCCGACATGTTCAGAAATAGTGTGTGTTCTCTTGGTAGGGAAGAACATATAAATAGTGACAACAAAGTGGAGAAATGCCACGATTAGAGATTATGGTTAGTAGATAAAGTGTCAGCTGCAAGAGAGACGTGGTTAGTGCCCTTATCAGGGGGGGGGGGAGATAGGGAAGTAGTTAGGCAGGTTAAGGTTCAATAATCATTTAAGTTGATTATACAAGTCCATCAATGATAGTCAAGTCCATCCTCCTGTAATGATAGTATTTATAACATCTATTTGGTGAAACATTGAAACAATGGACTGATGATCTCAAAGAGATCATCAGTCCATTGTTTTATACTAATGAATTAGTATATTTTATACTAATGAATTTATACTAATGAATTATACTAATGTTTGTGTTATACTAATGAATTAGTTTAAAGGACTGACTTAAAAATGGAAAACTAAAGAAGGTAACCTAGTATAGCCAAGCAAGCCTTGGCCCAATATACCCTATCTCAGATCTAAACCTGATATATATATATATATATATATATATATATATATATATATATATATATATATATATATATATATATATATATATATATATATATATTGGTAGCAGTATTTCTTGTAAACATATGTTGTTGAAAATGACCGAAAGGGTAAGATTAATCATTCTAACACGAATCTTCTCAATATTTCTTACTGTTTTTCTTCACTGTCGAGGGTAATTGAAAAATTAACTCTCCAAAATTATTTTTTTATGATGGTAGCGACTCACAATGGCTTTGTATGTGTTCCAGGAGGTGTTGGACAGAGCCTCGTCCGTGCTATACCAAGCTACCCGCCGCAAGGCCTTCTTCAGGAGCGTGACGGTGATTGTGCCCGCCCACTGGTCCAGCACCCGCTGCGGCTTGGCCTTCGACTCTACCCTTGTGCCCACCACGCCTCCGGCCATCACCATAACGCGACCCCACCCCGTCTACGCCCACACGCCCTGGACCCTGCAGGTGGGCGGCTGTGGGCGGCCTGGCAGGACTATATATCTCACGCCCCAGTACCTCGCTGATAGGAACCTCTCCTACACCCTTGGTGACCCTGGTAAGTTATAACTTGTTCTTGTACACACACACACACACGCATGCGCACACACACACACACACACACACACACACACACACACACACACACACACACACACACACACACACACACACACACACACACAAAGAACACTAAAAAAGAACTTTTTTAGTGTCAGAGTGGTTGACAAATGGAATGCATTAGGAAGTGATGTGGTGGAGGGTGACTCCATACACAGTTTCAAGTGTAGATATGACAGAGCCCGATAGGCTCATGAATCTGTACACCTGTTGATTGACGGTTGAGAGGCGGGACCAAAGAGCCAGAGCTCAACCCCCGCAAACACAACTAGGTGAGTACACACGCACGCAGCAGCAGCAGCAGCAGCAGCAGCAGCAGCAGGCGGTGCAGAACGACCACATTTCTCTAGCAGGCTAAAAAGACAACATTGACCACACCAAAACTTAAGTTTGTGTATCGAAGGACATAAGATTGATGATGGACTCAAAGTTAGCGCATAATGGCATTCCCCCGCATCTCCCAGGACACGCTCTGCTGAGTTCCAGACACATTATGGGGCTCGAACCTCATGCTCCACCCCACTCCCCACCCCCCCTCTTTAATGCTCCACCCACCCCATCACCCTTCCCAAATGCTCCACCTCCCCACCATTCGTAGCCCCCTCTCTACGCCCTTGTCCGGATCATCTCTGAAACACCGTCTGGGCGACCCAGTGGCTCTGGGACCTCCAACACACACACTACGTGTAGTAACAAACATTTTATTCACCGACTGTGTCAGAGAAGGGAAGGGACCTATCAGGGGGAAAGCTCCAAGCCATTACGACTATTCAGCCCTGGGAAGGGATCAGGATTAGGATTTGGGATGGGACGAGGGGGAGAAAAGGAATGGTGCCCCAACCACTTGTGGACGGTCGGGGATTGAACGCCGACTAGCATGAAGCGAGACCGTCGATCTACCGTCCAGACCAAGTGGTTGGGTACTGTGTCAAGAGAGGTGAATACCCTCTTAGCTGCAGTTCTACCTGTTTCACAGGGACGATTAAAACTAAATTATATGAATGATAATAATCTCCTTCCCTGTCTTGTGTTAGACCTTCCCTGACCCCCTATTTTAGACCTTCCCTGCCCCTTATTTTAGACCTTCCCTGCCCCTTATTTTAGACCTTCCCTGCCCCTTATTTTAGACCTTCCCTGCCCCTTATTTTAGACCTTCCCTGCCCCTTATTTTAGACCTTCCCTGCCCCTATTTTAGACCATCCCTGCCCCTATTTTAGACCTTCCCTGCCCCTTATTTTAGACCATCCCTGCCCCTATTTTAGACCTTCTCTGCCCCCTTATTTTAGACCTTCCCTATCCTTATCTTAGACTTCCTTATCCCTATTTTAGACTTTCCGGAAGCAGCTAAGTATATTATTATATAAAACAGTTATATATAAAGCAATAATGTAGAATTATCCCCGAAACGTCCGAAAGAAAAATAAATGAACATAGATGTGCATTCTCTTATGATACTAACGAGTAAAATACAGCTTCCTGTAAACCCCCCCCCCCCCATTCTTTCACCATCACCCGTGACACGAGGTTTCTTCTGCTCCAGAAGAAATACGCCCACGAAGTGTGATTATGGAATTCTGCTTAGAGAACCCACTCTTGGAAGATGAGGTTCGGCAGAGCGTATGAGAGCTAGGCGCTCGCTGGGGGGACACACGCACATTCCTTGGGAGTTAGAAACCTTTGACCCACGTTGTGGGGGATTGGGGGGGGGGGGGAATTTCGGATGGCTTTTCGGTAACTAGGCTTTAGTTCGGGGAGGACACAGATTTGGCCTTTCAACTTGCTTATGTTTGCCCCTTTTGTTGTATACTGTTGTTTTTAAGTTGAACAAATCCTTTGTAATTCTCCATTTCTGTTTCTGGAATTCTCTCTCTCTCTCTCTCCAATTCGTTATAGGCTATTGTTCTTCAGATAAATAAAATATGGTCATCACCTTCTCCCCCCCTCTCCTCTTTCTCTTCCTCCCTCCTTCCCCTCCCCCTCCCTCCCTCCCCCCTCTCTCTCTCTCTCTCTCTCTCTCTCTCTCTCTCTCTCTCTCTCTCTCTCTCTCTCTCTCTCTCTCTCTCTCTCTCTCTCTCTCTCTCTCTCTCTCTCTCCTCCCTCCCTCCTCCTCTCTCCTCCCTCTCTCCCTCTCTCCCTCTCTCTCCCTGCCTCTCCCTCACACATGGTTAAGCTCACCGGGCAAATAACAACTACTCGCCTCTAGTGGACGGACATGACGTAATGAAACGAATTTACCCGCCATTTCGCCAGCTGAAATATACGAGGAAATGAAAGAAAAAAATAGAGGGGAAATATTTTGGGAATTACACAATACATTCCAGGTTCTCGTCTAATTTGTTATTCAACAAATTTATTCGCTAAAATGTGGTGTTTTAGCAGGAGCATAATTAAATCCGGGGTGAATTTATGGTGAATAAATTCCATCGAATATTTTCGAAGTGAAAAAAAGAAACATGTATGACATCCAACCCTACAAATTTGAAAAGGATGAATTGACGACGTTTCGAGCACGTTATTGTGGCTTATCGCCTCTTAACATATGTATTCATATGTATTGAGCATCTATATTTGTGTTTCCTAGTCTGCTGAACACCAGTAGGCCCAAGCTGTGTCTTTCAGTCTCATTTTTCCTGTGTTTGCATCACTAAGAATTCCTGTGAGAGTCGAGAGGTGATCTTTCGGCCAATTGTTATTTTAATGTGATTATGATGTATTTACTCACACACACACACACACACACACACACACACACACACACACACACACACACACACACACACACACACACACACACACACACACTCACACACTCACACTCTCAGACACTCACACACACACATACACACACACACACACACACACACAAACACACACACACACACACACACACACACACTCTCAGACACACACACACACACACACACACACACACACACACACACACACACACACACACACACACACACACACACACACACATATTTAAAATCTTGGTGTTTTACCATACTGGTGACTTAATGCTAAACTGTCTATCCTAAACTATTTAGAGAATGCTCATGATTTTGTTTCTCTGGAAATGTAAACACGAGGGTTCACAGTCACATCATTTATTTGTATTATGAATTTTCATGAAAATTTTAAATTAGAGGGAATAGTTGATTTTTGATCTAGATGCCATTGATAACTAGATAAGGAAAGTGGAGGACGGAGGCAGGGAGGAGGAAATGAGGCAGGGAATGAGATAGGAAGGAGTGAAGAATGAGGAAGGGGGGGGGGTTAAATGAAGACAAAAGGTAAACTTACTCATGCAACCTCAACTTCCGGTAATATGTTCTGCTTACGCTGTGATGCACACCTGTGAACACAACCAGGAACGCTGAATGCAGGATGTTTAAGCTTGTACACCGAGTTCCCTGCTGTGGGCTACTGTGGGTTCCCTGCTGTGGGTTCCCTAGTGTGGGCTACTGTGGATTCCCCTACTGTGGGTACCCTACTGTGGGTTCCCTACAGTGGGCTACTGTGGGTTCCCTACAGTGGGCTACTGTGGGTACCCTACTGTGGGTTCCCTACAGTGGGCTACTGTGGGTTCCCTACAGTGGGCTACTGTGGGTTCCCTACTGTGGGCTACTGTGGGTTCCCTACAGTGGGCTACTGTGGCTGGTTCAGCTGTGTATACGTATTGTGTTTCAAGCTTCGCATCTGTCTCTCGTTTTGGGTTTCATATGAGTGAGTTCCAAGTTCAGAACAATCAACATATTCTCAGACTCCAGTGACCTTGCCACAGTGAAGCAAAGCCTTGGCATCCATTCCTGTTGCTGCTACGTTCGCTGCCATGTGGCATATCTTGCAAAGTTTTATTGCAATGATGTGTAACTGATTAAAGGAAGCTCCAGATCCAGTCACTCCTCCCCCCAGGGTAACTACTTCTCCCTCTAGAGTGACTAACTTACCCCCCAGGGTGACTTACGGTGCTGCAATAGAGGGCGCTGCTCCGCCTGTGAAGAGGGTGCCAATGTCACTGTGCAACGCTTGCAAGATGTCCTGCAAGCTACTCAACCCGAGACAACGTGCATTTAGAGCGGGAAGATCCTGTCTCTCAGAGTTACTCAACCACAATGACCAAATCACAGAAACCTTAGAAAAAATCAAAATGCAGATGTTGTATACACAGACTATGTAAAGGCATTCGACAAATGTGGCCATGGAGTGATAACTCATAAAATTAGATCAACAGGAATAACGGGTAAATTGGGGCGTTGGATTTTCAACTTTCTATCGAACAGAATGCAGTGACGGTCAATCAAATAAGATCAAGTCCAAGTGCAGTGAAAAGCTCTGTACCCTATGGCACAGTCCTTGCACGGCTGCTATTTCTCATTCTTATCTCTGATATAGACAAAAATACTAGTCACAGCTTCGTGTTATCCTTTGCAGATGATACAAATATCAGCATGAAAATTTCCTATGTAGAAGACACTGAAAAACTGCAAGCAGATATTAATAAAGTTTTCGACTTGGGAACTGAAGATAGCATGATGTTTAACGTTGACAAGTTCCAGGTACTGAGGTATGGTGGAAACGAGGAAGTTAAACGAAACACAGGGTACAGGACACAGGGTACAGGACACAGGGTATAGGACACATGGTACAGGACACAATCAGACACATAGAAGAAAAAGCAACATGTAAAAGATCTGGGAATTATGTCTGACGACCTGACATTTAGTGAACATAACAGAGCAAATAGAGCGGCGGCGGCCAGGAAAATGATTGGATGGAGGCGATGAGTCACAATAACGTGGCTGAAGTATGTTGACCAGACCACACACTAGAAGGTGAAGGGACGGCGACGTTTCGGTCCGTCCTGGACCATTCTCAAGTCGATTGTTGAGACTTGAGAATGGTCCAGGACGGACAGAAACGTCGTCGTCCCTTCAC